CTCAAAAACTGCTGTAAAACGGGAATTCCCTGGCGGTCCAGTGGTTAGGACTCGGCGCTTTCGCTGCCAAAGGCCCGGGTTCAATCCCTGGTTAGGGACCTAAGATCCCACAAACGGTGTGGCATGGCCAAAAATAAATAAATAAATAAATTGCTGTAAAAAGTAAGTTGCTGAGTAACAAGCACAGCATGACTGCATTTTTTTTTTTTTATTGCATTTTTAAAAGCACGCTCAAGCACTACTCTTTGGGGTGGGTACATTTATAGGTATGCAAGACCATTGTCTATAAATCAGAGAGGACAGTGCAGAGAGAGACCACACCTCATTTGTTTCACCTGGGCCAGTGCAGAGCCCGATACACCATAACCACTTAGTAACTGTGGACAGCTGCATAGGTGACCAGCGGGGCCTTGTCCTGGCGTGATGGATCCCGGTGTCTCCCCAGGGCCTCCAGGGGATTCCTCCAACACCGGCCCTCCCTCCCCTCCCATGGCACCTCCAGCTAAGCCAGAACCCATAGCTCCATCTGGCTGTGGCCGCTTTGGCCTATCAACTCCCTCACCAGATCCAGGCTCAGCCCCCATGCTGCTCCTCTGTGTTCCTGGGCACTGGGCCATGAGTGACTCAGTGGGGCTAGCTCCTCCATCCCTGGCTCCACCCTGGTAAAGTGGGGATGTTAAAGGGCACTCCTGTGTGTATTCATGTGTGCACGTGTGTGGCTGTGTGCGTGTGCTGGGGGAGCAGGCTGCTTTTTAGAAGCTGGGGTTGGAGCACAGGAAGCAAGCTGACTTGGCCCAGGCCATTAGCTAAACTTTCCTACTTACCAATAGGTCCTACTGTATAGCACAGGGAAATATATTCAATATCCTATGATAAACCCGAATGGAAAAGAATATTTAAAAAAAATATATATATATGAATCACTTAGCTGTACGGCAGAAATGAACACAACATTGTAAATCAACTGTGCTTCAATTAAAAACAAACATAAAAACCAACAACAAAAAACCCCAAAACTTTCCTGCTTGAGTCTTGGATCATCTGCTTCCAAATGAGCAGGCGCACTGATAAGGAGGAGGCCTGATGGATAACTTCCCATGTTGAGAGCTGAGAAAAGACATGAACAAGGGTCCTAGAAAAGCGCTCCACCTTGGCCAGGTGCGGGAGGCCTGCCAGCTTTCAGAGGGGATATGCCTTTAAGTCCCTGTCTTATTCAGCTTGAGCTGTTATAACAAAATACCAAAAACTGGGGGGCCTAAACAACAGACAATTACTTCTCACAGCTGTGGAGGCTGCGAAGTCCAAGGTCAAGGTGCCAACAGACTCAGTTCTCAGTGAGGACCCTCTTCCTGTCTTGCAGATGGCCGCCTTCCTGCTGTATCCTCACATGTAGAGAGAGGGAGCACTGGTCTCTTCCTCTTATTATAAAGACACTAATCCCCTCATGGAAGACCCACCCTCATGATCTCATCTCAACTTAATTGCCTCCCAAAGGTCCCACCCACCTCCACGTACCATTATATTGGGAGTTAGGGCTTCAACATATGAATTTCTGGGGGACACAAACATTCAGTCCATAACACCCTGCCCCTGGCCCCCCAAAATTCATGCAATGAATTCTTGCATGCAAAATACATTCATTCCATCCCAACAGCTCCAAAAGTCTTAACTCCTTTCAGAGACTTGGGGTATGATTCATCTTGAAAGAAAATTACTCTCCAGCTGTGAACCTGTGAAACCAGGTAAGTTATGTACTTCCAAAATGCAGTGGTGGGACAAGCATGGGATAGACATTCCCACTGAAAACAGAAGAAATCAGAAGTAAGAAGGAGTGACGGGTCCCAAGTGAGCCCAAAACCTAGCAAGGTAAATGCCGTTAGCTCTTTGGTTCGATGCTCTGCCTACTGGACCCACCGGGGCGGTGGTCTTGCCTTTAGGACCCACTGAGACAGGGGTGCATCCTCACCCCTGCAGCTCTGCTGGGCATTTCCATGTCCCCCGGAGACTCTGCAAGGCCTCCATCTTGCCTGTTGAAACCAAGGCAATGCCCCACCCCCACCTTTTGAAACTGAGGAGACAGCTCTGATGCTGGCTGAATTGCCCTCAGAGTCATTCTTTTCTTAGCCTGAAAAATAGTGTACACAGCTAAACAGCAATACAGTCAGCCCTGTAGGATCTATCAAATCTGACAGCCTTCCCTCATTCCATTCTGTCTTCACCCCCTTCAGTTACCCTGGAGTTGTTTCTGCTGGGGTGGCTGATTAGGCCGGTGGTTCACACCCAGGCTAATCTTATCAAACAGTGTTTGGCCCCAATCTATGTCTTCTCTTCTGAACATGCTCTCTTTTTTCGTAACACAGATAGGCTGAGAATTTTCCACATCTTTAAGTTCTAGTTCCTTTTTGCTTAAGAATTCCTTCTTCAAGTCATTTCTCTCTTCTTGCATTTTACTATAAGCAGACAGGAGGGACCAAGTTGTTCCTTCGACACTGCTTAATATCTCCTCAGCTAAATATCTAATTTCTCATCACTCCCAAGCTCTACCTTCCACAGAACACTAGACCATGAACACAGCTCAGCCAAGTTCTTTGCCGCTTTCTAACAAGGATCACCTTTTCTCTACTGTCCAGTAACATGTTCCTCATTTCCATCTGAAACCTGACCAGAATGGCCCTTAGAGTCCGTATTTCTAGCATGTACTTGAAAACTCTTCCGCTTCTACCCATTACTCAGTCCCAAAGCGGCTTCCACATTTCTGGGTATTTGTTACAGCAGCACCTTACTTCTCGGTACCAATTTCTGTCTTAGCTTGGGCTGCTATCACAAAATACCATAGACTGGGTGCCTTAAGCAACATAGTTCTGGAAGCTGGGACATCAAGATCAAGGTGACAGCAGATTTGGAGGACTCCCTTCCTGGCTTGCAGAGAGCTGCCATCTTGCTTCGTCCTCACATGGCAGAAAGAGATAGAGAGAGGGATCTCCGGTGTCTCTTCCTCTTCTTATAAGGACACTACCTCCATCGTGGAGGCCCCACCATCATGACCTCCTCTAAACCAAACTGCCTTCCAAAGGCTCCACCTCCAAATAGCATCACGGTTGGGGGCTGAGGTTTCAACATGTGAATTTCAGGGGGACACAAACATTCAGTCCCTAACAGTCCCATTTATAGAGAAAAGGCCGCAAATGCAGGGTGTTTGTGTGTTTGTGTTTGTGGAGCATGCTTTCACACAGACTTCAGTGTAAATGATGAATATCTGACTTTCTGGGTGGAAGCTGTGGGCAGAGCCTGAAGAGGCAGAGAATGGAGGGAGCTGGTGAGGGGGAGGAGGCCCCCTCTACATCATCAGTGCTGGCGCTGAAGCACAGGCCCCCATCAGGCAGGTGCACACCCACTCACTATCCTTAAGGGGTAGACTCTGGCTGGCACTGGACAAGCGCTGGGAATCTGTCTTCCTGGAGTTTACAGCTTTGCAGGAGTCACTATTTCAATGGAGAATTGCAAAACTTTGACCCTTCCTCCTGGTTTTGCACGTGCTTCCTCTTTACCTAGGATGCGCTGTGTTCCCTCTGTCCCATTCCCCTGGCTGCTCCTGTCCATCTGTCAGTGGGTAGGTGCAGCTCCCTTTGGGAGGCTTGGCCTCATTCCCCTGAGCCTCTAGGGCTTCCAGAACTTTGGCACTTCCTGCCTCTCAGGACTCGCCACTCCAAGCCGGCACTCTTGTCTGCTCATCTGAGGACAGGACTGTGAACCATGGTATCCCCAGTACGATTGTGGCCTGCTTCCTGGAAGCAGAGGGTGCCATGAATGAGTGAGTGAATAAATGAATTATACACTGTGGTGAATCGTTGGTCCTTGAATGCCTGGGACAGCTGTACAGATGTTGCATGAGAATGCCTGATTGGAAACACATGTTGAAGGGTTGAAAAATGATAGAAAAGGTCACTGCAAGGCCAAACACACCCACCCACCTGATGGACTAGCTGGCTATTCCTTGCTCCACAGACAGCCAGAGGCACATGCCCCCTCCCAGTCCTTTTGGGTTTCTGAGATCTGCAGCCTCCAAAGCTGGGCTCTAGCTAGAGAGGTGTAAAGGTCAAGCGTGCTAGATTGCCCAGGTTTAAATCCTAACTCCACCACAGCCTAGCTGGTGACGGCTGTGCATCAGTTTCCTCACTTGTGAAACAGGGATAAGAGTGGCACTTTTTTCATAGGGTTGCTCCGAGGATTCAATGAAAGAAGTGTTGTCAAGCCCCGGGGACAGTGAGCGCAAACGTGCTTAGTAAGCACCGCCTCTTACTATAGACCCTCCCACCGCCAGAGGCCCTGCACTGGTCAGTCTCCACACTTCAGATGACTAATCTGTAAAATGAGAATGGTCAGAAGGATCATGCTTAAATGAGAAAGTAGAACTGCATTCAAATCTGTGGTTTGGGTCCATGGTAGTCTGTGGGGCTGTGCGTTACATGCAGACTCACCAAGCCGGGGGATTCTGGGGACAGCCCATCCAAACCCTCCGCTCCGGGCAGAGCGGTGAGGACCACCGCCGGCCTGAGGGATTCAGGCCCCAACACCCAACCCAAACCCCTACAACCCCTTCTCTTCGAGACAGTCTGCTGGGGGGTTCCTCTGAGAGGTGGGGAGGCCTACAGCACCAGCGCCAGGGACCGGGGAAGGCGCGGGAAGGAGAGGGGGAGGGTCCCCGCAGTAGGGGGCGGGGCCCGTGTGCCCGGGGGTCGCAGATGCCTGGGCTGCAGTCTGGTTATTCCAGGAAAAAGAAATAAAAAATGCTGCAGAGGAGGCGGCCACCGGGCCGCGCCGGTTATCTTCCGGGCGCCTTCCGGCTCTGATAACGCCCGGGGCGGGGCGCGTACCCAGAGTGACCCGGGAGTCGGCCTAGGGGATCCTTGCCGGGCCGGGTCCCCGCTCTAGGCCGCGCCCAGCCCCGCGGAAAGCTGTGGTTCGCCCCGCGCCCCCCGCCCGGTCCGGCCCTTGCTTACTCTGCAGACAACGGGCAGCGGCCAAGCAGAGGGCGAAGACTCCCAGCGAGAGGCCGTGGCTCTTCCTCCTCCGGCTCGGCAGAGGCCTCATGAGCAAACCCCGCGCGCCACCGGCCCGGCATTGGCGTCCCGGGCGGCGCGGCGCGGCCCCGGCTGTGCGCTCACGTGGCAGCCACTGCAGCTCCTGGCCGCCCGCCTGCCCGCTCCTCCTCCTCCGCCGCCGCCTCCTGCCTGTCCTGTGAGGCCAGATGCAGAAGAGCTGGTGTACTCTGGTTGAACCAGTTCCCAAGGAGTGGGGAAGGAAGAGGAGACGGGAGGGAGGGAGGGAGAGAGAGAGAGGAAGCAGTTGGAATGCACACACTCAGAGGTAAATAATAGCAAGAAATGAGTAGTCTCCTTCCGTTCACACCCACTTGACTGGTGTTGATTCAAGGTTCAGCTGGATGCTGGGTGGCAGAAGGAAGGGAAGGTATTAGCTGTTGCCTGAGGACCAAGAGGGACCATCTAATGGCTCCATGTGAAATGAGAAGGCTTTCAGGTAGGCGAAATGACAGCCTAGGGTGAGAGGGGTGAGAAGAGGACAAGGGAGCCTCAGGCTGCTCGGGGTGGAGCCACTGGACAGTGATGATAGCTATCCACCATGTACCATCCAGCCATCTAAACACCATCCATCCACCCATTCATGCATCCGCCCAGCCATCCATCCATCCATCTATACCATCCATCCACCCATCTATCCATCTACCATCCACCATTCTTCCATCCACTATCTACCCAGCCCTCATCCACACCTCCATTCATCCCTGCAGACAAGATGTGTTCACTGAGAGCCTACTTATTTGCACAGGGCCTGACGCGTGGTAGACAGTCATAAAACATTGGTGGATTGAAGCTGGGCACTGTGCTAAAGGTTGGGGATACAACTATGAATAAGATAGAAGTCTTTAGAAATCCTAGCGAGGGGTAGGGCTGGAAAAACAAGCAATTGCTGTACAGTGCATATGTCTCTTTGATAAGGGAGGCCCAGTATGCTATGGGGACTCAGGGCAAGAGTAATTAACCCTGGGGAGGGAGAGTATTAGTGGTGGAGGAGGAATTAGTATTGATCCCAGTTAGTCATGAAATTCAACTCCAGTTTGTTAAAACTAGATTTTCTAGCCTTCTTTGCAGCTGAGGGTAGCAGAGTTGTCCAGTGCTGGCCAGTGATGTTAAGGGAAGTCTTCTTGGGGTGTTTCTGGGAAAGTTTTTGCTTTCTTTTATTTTAATTAATTAATTAATTAAATTATTTTTACTTTTGGCTGCATTGGGTCTTCGTTGCTGCACGCAGGCTTTCTCTAGTTGTGGCGAGCAGGGGCTACTCATTGCAGTGCATGGGCTTCTCATTGTGGTGGCTTCTCTTGTCAAGGAGCACGGGCTCTAGGCGCGCGGGCTTCAGTAGTTGTGGCATGTGGGCTCAGTAGTTGTGGCTCGCAGGCTCTAGAGCACAGGCTCAGTAGTTGTGGCGCACAGGCTTAGTTGCTCCGTGGCATGTGGGATCTTCCCAGATCAGGGCTCGAACCCGAGTCCCCTGCATTGGTAGGTGGATTCTTAACCATTGTGCCACCAGGGAAGTCCCTGCTTTCTTGATAAAAGTGACAGATAAGGCTAGGGCTGCCCCTCTCCCTTTCTTCCTGCTTTGAAGACATCATAACATTTAGATCTGTGGCACCTATCTTGTATCCATGAAGTTACATGGATGAGGACAAAAGCCATCATGCCAAGTAAGATGATGGAGCAGAAAGATGGAAAGATAGAAGACCATGGCAGTCCAGCACACTTTCCTGTATCCTTCCTCTGGTTCCTAAGGGGGAATTCTTGCCAGTTTCATGTGTTCTTGGTAGGTTGACAGTAGTGGTACCCTGCTGACCGCCCCTGGGTGAGCCAGGCTGACCAATCAGAGTACACTTTTCACCAGCCAAAGTGTTTGGTTCAGGGATGGTTGGACAGGGCCCTCAGAGTCTTCCCTGGGAATGATATGTGGTCATTGTTGGGATTGCTAAAATGAGACGATATGAACCTGGGAATACTGGGAATATTGGAAAGGCCCTGAATTAAGCATGAAGCCAAGATGGTACAAACTAAGCTGGGAGCTGAGAAGAGATATAGAGCCCTCATGACATGGATTGAGCTCTGGGATTCCGCACACTAGCCTTTGCCAGTTATGAGCAAATAAATACCCTCTTTTGCCTCAAAAAATTAAAAAGTTCGATTTCTCTGACATAAAATTGAGAAAGTCCTGACTCATACAAGGGGTCTTCTTGACAGTTTTCTGTTTTTGTTTTTTTTATTCCATGTAAGGGGATTCAGGAATCACTTGCATTCATTTATTTATTCATCAAACTGTCATAACATCTGACCTCGTACCAGGCTACATGCTAGGCCCTGCAGCTCCAGAGATGATTAACTAACTCATGGCTCCTGGTACCAAGAAACTCACAAAGTAGACAGCAGATCCAGATTTGAGAAAGGCCTCCAGGTATATGGGCTCTTCCTACTGAGGCCGAGATGA